CTCTGGGCCATGTCTACCCTGTCCTGTAGAGTCACTGTGAGTTGGAATCAACTCGATGGCCGTGAGTTTGATATTTTTGCTTTTATGTTTATCATTGGGTGACACACATGGTTTACATTCAGTTTCTAGCCCCATCATTGGTAGTTTGAACCCACCCAGTTGTGCTACAGAAAAACAAAAAGCAACCCAAAACACCCCTATGGAGACATCCTAGTCTGTAACCCATGGGGTCTTCCTGAGTTGGGAGCAATTTCACCAAAATGGGTTTATACTGCTCATTGAAATTTATCAGTAGCTAGTATTTAAGCCATGTGTGTGTCTTTTCTTTTTCTTAACCACTTAAAAGCCCATCAAGACAGTTTATCCCGAAATACTTCATTGTGCCTTTCTGAAAATCAAAGCCAATCCTTCCTAGGTAATAAACATTTTCTCATGGTATTATCTCCTCCTGATATTCCCTGAATAGAAATCGGTAAAAACAAGATGGTTTGGGGACACAAAAGTAAAATGAACAAACCCTACAGGATAGAAACACAGAACTTCTAACAAACTTACCAGCGAAAATCAAGATAAATACCTACGTGTCTGTAAATGGCCGGGGTCACTCCTTGCCAAAGCTTCAGAAAGCCTTCCTCGCGGACAATCCCTAGGGCAGTGCGCATCATGCCCCTGTAGGGGGCAGAGGCTCTGGCACCTTCTCCCAACCTAGCAAGGGCAGCTTCCCCTTGCATTTGGAGTCGAGTTTTTGTGAGATCCAGAGGGAAGGTTGCTAAGAAAACACAAAGCAAGAGGGGGGAAACCCCACAATATTCAGAGAAGTGCACACACACGAAATCCTCAAATCGTAGCTGTACTATTTTCCTCCGTGAGATTAGTGGGTCCCAACTGTGGATGACATCTAAGATAGGTTAAGGAGAGGGTTAACAATAAAGACATTTCCTGGCTTCATGTCTACAGATCTAATTCACAGGAGGGTGGTGATGGTGGGGCTGTTCATAAGTCTTGGTTTCTTTCCATAGGAAATTTAGTGTAGCATCTGCTTTAGTTCTGAATTTTTGCTTTTCCAGTGGGAAACAGTTTAAAGAATTCCCATTATTAGTGATAGCCCACTAATTGCACCATTAAAAAAGATGCATATAGTATTTTTTAAACACTGTTTTTTGTATTGGTAATAGCATTGATGTAAATGTGAATAAACAAACAGACAACCTGGAATTTTATAATTTTATGGACTTTCATATGCAAATGAATCACCACCAGCCTGGAGAAAGTGCAAGATTGAGTGCAGAGTGTTTTCGTTTCTACAGAAGTGGCATGCTCAGTATTCCTTCTCTTAAGGCATACGTTAAGTTGTTTTCCAGCACCAAAGTTTTATATATGGTATTCTCATAGGCTCTCTCATACTGACTATTTTTTCCTGCTGTGTACATTTGTAATGAAAAGAGATCCTTTAACCTTGGAACAGAATGAAGTTAACAAGTTGCTCACACAAAGTAGATCAAATTAAGAATTTTATACACACAGTATTCAAAATAGCAAAATAACCACATTCTGATGAGTCTATCAACAATATTGATACTATCTGGGCTTTTTCAGTACAAAACCCTAGTTGTACCTTTTCCAAGATTGGAAGGCTATGAATATTCAATCTTCTTCGTGGGCTTTGGCAAAACCTCACTATCCTGCTGTCCATTTCGCTAAGAAGCAAATGGTATATAAATAATTTAAATGACTTATTGACATGTGAAACCTGGAAAGTCCTAAGACTTAGGGGCCTGAGTGTTTTACTATGTAGTCAGCTGCGTTTATCAGAAAACATTAAGGATAGCATTGAGAAGAATGGCAATTCCAGCCCATTCAGTGGTGCCACTGTGTAACCAATACAGAGGCCAAGAGGCCTTGTTCATTCCAAATACAGAGAGAACATCATGGTTTATTATCAGGGAAAGTGTAAGTCAAGTTGTATCCTTTCACCATATGTATTCGGTCTGTATACTGACCACATCATCCTAGAAGTGAGACTGTATGATGATGTGCACATCATCCTAGAAGTGAGACTGTATGATGATGTGCACATCATCCTAGAAGTGAGACTGTATGAAGACAAGTATGGCACCAGGTTGGAGAGAGGCTCCGTAAAAACCGGTGAGATGTGCTTGATACAACCTTGCTTAGAGAAAGCCAGAGCCCTAGAAGCACCGATGGCGAAGATCGCAAACGATAGCCTTTAGTACAGAGTCCACCTCCACATAAAATAAAATTAAAAAGATGATCACCCCTGGGCCAATAAGCAATATCATGATACAAGGAGAAGAGATTGTTGCCACATAATTCATTTTGCTTGGATCAGCAGTCAAGCAATACAGTTGAAGAATTATATTGTGTTGGGAAAATCTGATGCCAAGCCTTTGGAATAAAACTATCTACCTGTGCAAAGTCATCAGAAGTCGATTCTGGATGCCTGAGGGAAGAGTCAAACGGTCTCTTAGGTTTTCTGTTGCTCCTGCAGGCAGATATAACGGTCTTTTCTCTAAACTCTTAAGATATGTAATGGTGCCTTCAGTAAAGTATTAAACAGCAATGACATCGCTTTGAGGACTTAAGGTGTGCCTGACTCAAGCCAGGGTATTTTCAGTCACCTCATATGCTTGTGAAAGCTTTACAAGGCATAAGGAAGGCTCAAGGTTGAAGATTGGGTGCATTTGAGTTATGAATACTGAAAACAGTACTGAATATACCATGTTTACCTGCTATGTACATTTTGAATTAAAAAAGAGGTCCTTTAACCTTGGAACAGAATGAAGTTAAAGAGCTGTCTACAGAACAAACAAAGCTGTATTAGAAGAGTACATGCAGGACCCTCATTAAAAGCAATGATAGGAGAGACTTTGTTGGGAATGCAGAGTTGATGGAAAAGAGGAAGACCCTCAATGCAATGGATTGACA